CCCGCCACCTCCAGCATTTGGGGCCAGCATCTTCCTCCTTTGAGCCACAGGCACTACCCAACTATTTCCTTTTTTGAAATGTATTATTACTATACCTTAAGACCAAAGCATAAAAGTTCAAAATTATCAGAAAAATACGATGGTTATTTATAAAACCCCAAGGCCTTGGGCCTCATCCTCCTTGACCTCTATGTCCCTCTCTCTGGTCTCGCACCCCCCAGTGAAAACTTAACATTACCATTCATAAGTCAGTTGAAATTCACAAGACATATTTTTCATTATATTTTTGGATGCTACCAGGCAAAAAAAATATTTTTAAATTAAGGAGGAACAGCTTGCTAAACAGGCGAGATGTCAGAAGCTGTTGTATTTCTGCTGTTCTCAGTGCAGAAGGCTGGATCTGAAGCTTGCACATCATTAGCTGTGATTCTGCCACTGTGATGGATGTGAGCGTGTTACAACTATTAATTTAATTTCTCATTGTAGCATTCTGATGACTTCAGGGAGACAAATATGCCTATGAGCTTATAAGTTGCCTTTTTGGTTAAATGTAACAGAAACCCAAATTATATAATGTTTCCATTGAAAGATTTCCTCTCAAAAGCACTTTTCTTTGGCTGATTACACTCTGAAACACTTCAGAATCTAAAGAACGTGAATCTCTATTATTGCAAGATTGGTAAGAGTAACTAGAAGTTCCTAATCTACAGAAGAATCTCAATACTGCTCTCAATTTACTGACCACTTTTGGTGACACACCAAACACAGGGTGGATACTTTGGTTAATAGCGCTCAGAGGATCTGAAGATGTTGGCTCTGACAATTTACACAAAAATTTATTCCACTCAGAAAGGGATTAGGCTCTTGGAAACTCAATTGCAGTTTTTAGGTCCAGTGCCCTGTTCTTGTAGTTATTGTGTAAAACATAGAACCCAGTGCCAAACCCTACAGAAAAATATTAAACAGTAAGAAAGCGTAAGTGACCTAAAATGCCCCTTTCTACAATGTTAAAAAACAGATTGTTTTTTCATGAGTTAGCTAATTTACAGCCGGAGGAGAGAACCAAATTTAACAGATGTTGAAATGTGACAGATGCTGCCTTAGTCTGAGGGAGATGCTTCAGAAGGAGTCTAGTCATGGAAAAGTTTAAACTTGACTGTGCTACATGCTGTATTCTAATCAATAAGTTGTGAGTTAGGAATGTTCTCAGAAATACATCATATTATTTCACTTACTGTTCAGAGATGTTTGAATGTTTTAGCCGCTCAAAATTCTAAGTATCCAAGAACATCTGAGGGGCACGGAGGATTTTCTAACTAACATATAAACCAGTGAACTTGTTTCATTATTGTTGAGGAGAGCCCCCATTTCTGCCCCCGAATGTCCAGGACCAGTGTGAGAGCCCCCAAACTGAGTACAGGCAGGGAAAGCTTGAAGTCGTCACTCCAGGAGATGGAGGGTTAGGACTGAGGCAAAACTGAGCTGCTGTGCTCAGTCTGGCAGAAGTTCTGACCTACATTCTAGAGTAGTGTGGGATTATTACAGAAAAACACTTAAGCGAGCCCAAAAGTTAACTGAGGCTATACAAAGAATTCACCATTAATCCTTGTATGAGAGAATATTTTGTACCAGACTCTGAGAGTTTAGAAAGGCAACTTGTCGAGCAGACTTACCTTCTCTCTAAGACCCAAGGAGAAGAGACCCGTTGGTCTCCTCCATTTGAAGGGCCAGAGCACACAGGTGGTCTCAAACCTGCAAGGTCAGGCAGTCCACCTGCCTCAGTCTCCCACAGTGCTAGGATTACAGGCATGAACCACCTGGCCCAGCCTAAACATGCATCTTCATGGTGAAAAGCAACTGATCAGTACAGCGTTTCAAACCATAAAAGTGTTTCAAATGAAACTAAAATTATGGCAGGCTCAAATTAAGGCAAACAGTTTTATGCATGTTGATACATTGGCTAAACACAGTCCTCTGAACAGTGAAAAATATGCAGTTTTTTTTTAATTTGATATAAGAATTTGAAGACAAATTTCATGATTTCTGGGGAGATAATATTTTGGAGCATATGCGACTCCATTTTCAGTCAACGTAAATGTGCTATCTGCTGATTTTCTTTTCTTTCTTTTTTTTTACATTTAATATTAAGTTTTATTTAAACAGGTAAAAGTTTATCCATCCTTTTAAAAACAAAAATCCGAAGTCAGAAAGTGAATCAATAACACAAACATGATTATAGCAGTAATTACAATAGAGGTAACATAAAAAATAATAATAATAAAAGGGCCAGAACACAATTAGTCCTGTAGTCGATATTGCCAGAACAATGTTTAGTAGTTTAAAAAAAATTTTACTCACCACAGAGCTCATTATTTTGCAGTTCAATGTCAACTGGGACCACCGTTTGTCCTCTCAATGAAGTAGATGGAAGCCATGATCTGATGTATCACAGCAGAGAAACTGTCACATCAGCAAGATTGTGTAAAGAGATGAAATATCTTGATACAACCAATCTGACAATTAAGCAATAAAAATAATCACCTTTTATTGAGTATCTACAATGCTCTGGGCATGGTAGTAGGCCCTTGATATAGATGAATTTATGTGATCTTTGTAACAACTTCTTTTAGTTGAGGGATATTATTATTCCCTACTTTCCTGAGGCCCAGAGGGGTTAATTAACTTGCCCAAGGTCACTTAGCTGATCTGTGGCAGACAGGATTTGAGACCAAATTGACCTGACTTCAAATTCTTTGCTCTTAATAAGCACTATAATATATTCTTCTGTCTGCAAATGCCTCTTAGCAGGAGAGAGCCATATGACAAATTTATACCTTGTAGAGTTGAGATGAATATGATACTTTAATATTGAAAGTATTACAGAGTCCTCTAATTAGTCATCGTCTAAATACTTGGTTCAACAAGTCCTTGAAGGTCAGCATGGATTCTCTACCGAGTCTAGATAATTAGGAGCCGACAGTACAGGGTAGATTCCTAGGCAGTCAGTTACACAACTTGTAGACCGAGGTATCGTTACAGTGGTGATTCTGGCAACAGAGCAAGCTACAGTATTCCTTGTCCAGATCTAAGCATTCATAAAATAATTAATGACTACGAAATTTAAGGAATTTGCCAGAACGATTTCCACAGGGTATTGTTAGGAAGAAAACACTGCACGAAGAGATGACTGAGGCCAGGCCACTGTAGTATTTCACAGGGTAACCCAGGACTCTGCAGATGAAAGATTTTGATGATGAATTCACAAAGCCCATCATTCAGGGACTAACTGCCCTCGTTGCTCCATTTGAGGAAAGAAAGACCATGCAGCTAGATTTGAAGGCATTAGAGGAGGCCCCCGGCCCCTTTCTCTACATGCTGGACGGCCTCACGAGCA